TGCTCCCACAATGGATGGCCAACACTTTCCTTCAGCAGAGTTTACTAAAACTGTGTGTGTGTGTGTGTGTGTGTGTGTGTGTGTGTGTGTGTGTGTGTGTGTGTGCATGTGTGTGTGTGTGATGTAACCAAATGTAGACTTTGGGCTCACGTCCAGAAGGACTTATTGTTTGTATTTTCTGAACAGCAGTCACTTCTAGCATTTTAATAGACCTATTGAATAGTTGAAAATAAAACCAATGAGATATCATAACTATATACTTTGCATTTTAGAACAGTGACAATTTCTTTCACGGTAACATAGGTAAGACACATTTCCATGTGTTTTTTGTTTGACATGCATTTTTTAGCCATTTCTTTTTATTTTGTATGAAAGAGTGCTTTGCCTGTATGTACACTAGTATACCATATGCATACAGTGCCCATAGAAGTGAGAAGAGGGCATCATGATCCTTTGAAACTGGAGTTACAGACTGTTGTTAGCCACCATGTGGGTGCTGGGAATGGAACTGTGTTTTCCACAAGCGCTGCAAGTGCTTTAAACTACTGAACCATCTCTCCAGCCCCAGACATACATAGGTACTTTTACTAACTGCAATAAAAAAAAATCTCCAACATTTTTAATATTATCACTAGTGACTGATAGAAATTGTCTAGAACTGATCTAAATAACTAGTCATACAACACGCAGCTACTTCTTGCTGAAGAAGCATAAATTTTCTTCCCATATTTCAAATCAAATGGGATTCACAGCAGATTGTATAGTGTTGTGAGTGAATGAGCGTGAGAGCAAGTGAATGGATAGATGAATGAAAAAGGATGATGGATGGGTGGGCACATATGACAGATAATAGATGGTGACGACAGATGACGGATGGATGAAGATGATGGAGGATGAAGGATAGATGGATGACTTCATAGATACAGGGAGATAGGGGATAAATAGACAGACGGATGCCAGATAGCTGCTTGTTCCTCAATGTCACTTAGGAACCACATCCTCTATTTACTCAGACAAAACCCAGCCACTTATATATTATGAAACAGATACAAAAATATGTTTGGCTAGTATAATCAATACTATTACAAAAAGATTATTTTCTTAAGTTTGGTAATAGCACTTCGACTTTGTAATAGTCTTTACTAAAACATATGATGTTAATTTCAAATTCCCATCTGAAGCATATTTTCACAGATAAAGAGAAAATGTAGTACAAGACTACTATTAACAAATATCGGAATAGGTCCATAGGTGATCCCGTGTTTTAATTTTTCTCCACATTTAAACATGTTCAGAATGAAGAAATAAGGCTAAAAGAAGAACAAAACATTCAGTGGTGCCACCAATATAAAATTTACCAATATAAACATTAGTGAACAAAAAGTATTATATCAAGAACATAATAGTCTAAGCATGGTCTGTGGGATATGATTGAATTTCCCATTTTCTCCTCATTTTTCACCACTGGCATTCACTTAGCTACATATAAGACATCACTATTTTTCTAAGGTGACTGAGCAGGCAGAGAGAACCTGCTGTGTGGGTCTTCACAACACTGACATGCTCTCTCCCTTGCATGGCAGATGATCTCACAGGCATCCCTTGGAAGTGGTCCTCAGACCCCATTCCCGACCCTCGGACCTCACTTCCCAACTTACTCAAAAAAATTTTTTGCCTCACATATTCTAAGAGAAGTTGCTCCCTTGAGCAGCTGTTCCTTGCACTATTTCTCACTATTAAGTGACAAAAACAAATTGTCCACCTTTCCCAACCCCAGGACCCCCACCCCAGTTGGTCATACTCAACCCATTGCTTACTTCCCATTCCCTCCTCCACTGGCCAGTATCACTTCGGTCCCCACCACTCCCGGGAATGCACTTTTCTCAGAGTCATCAAGAGACTCTATGTAGTCAAAGTTTGTTTTCCAACTGAGCTAACCCGGCCAACAACAACGCACATACCCCTGACTGTTTTCACTTCTCTTACTCATTTTCTTCCCATGCTCCAAGGGCACAAAAAAGAAAAAGCTAAAAATTTTAAAAAGAGGAAAAGAAGCAAAATTTGCATGTACGGAGTCACCTCTACCTTGGTCCTTGTAGACAAGAGCTGATGGCTCCACCTGCCCCCAGAAGTGTCTCCTCCTGAGTTCCTAGCATTCAAATAGACAGCACCACAACTCAGAGTTTACCTTTGCCAACTTCCTGAGTCACCCCTGACATCACTTTTCCATCATACATCGTCCTCTACCCAAGCCCTGTCTGTTTCCAAAACTGGCCACATACCTTATGTCTCCTACCTCAAACGCAAGCTCTCTGACCCAAAAGGTCATCCCCTCCCTTCAAGTCCACAATGACCTAAGCATTGTCCCTACTGCCTTACTTGGCTCTCTGAAGCACACCATCTACCCAAAAACTGAAGGGGCCTTAAAGGGCCTGCCACATCCCTGTTCAAAACTCTCAAACTTGGCCCAGGGAGATAGCTCGGTAGGTAAAGGCACTCGCAGCCAAGCCTGGTAAACTATGTTTGATCATCCAGGCTCACACAACGGCAGAAGAGAACTGACTCCTATTAGTTGTCCTTGACCTCTACGTGAATACATGCCACGTGCACCAACACATGTACGTACACACATGGTAATAACAAACAAAATAAGTTAGCGGATGTTAATAACTTCTCAAACTAGTTGACATCATTCTTAAAATCAAACCCAGAGTGCTTGCCCACAACAAAGGCCTAGCCCCACCCACCCTTCTGACCTCAGGTATTCCTATTTTCCATGTATTTCCTAACTCCACTCACTCCATTCCAGCAGCAGTACCTTGGGGCCTCAATAAGCAAACATACCACAGCTGAGCCTGGAAATTGCCCACACTACACGATCTTATCCAAATCAGGCATGGCCCACATCCTCCTCTACCGGGCACTCTACCGCAGTGTCCCAGTCTGAGCAAGTCCCTGGCCAACTTATCGAAACAATATCTTCCTTCTCTTACCTGTTGGTCCTTTCCCCACAGTTCACCTGCCTCACAGGAATGCAAACTTGTCAAGAGGGAACTTTTCCCTGGTTATTGCTGTGTCCCAGAGCACAGAAAGAGGCCAGGCAGCAGACGCTAATTAATGAAATACTAACTGGAGCTGATTAATGAATATCTGCTGCCTAAAAGATTAATAGCTATAATTAGTGGATACCACACTCAAATGTCCTCAAGGCAAGACAAGTATCATAAATGAATCTGTGGAGCTGGATTTAAATAAGAAAGAAAAGTCCTGAGTCCCACCGAGCAAGTAATATTCTTCCTTAATTTCAATATGTATATGTGTTATATATATATATGTATATGTATATACTACATATATGTGTGTATGCATATATATTTATGTGTGTGCATGCATATGTACTCACACACATTTTTATGTGTGTTTTATGTTTTCCTGTAAATGTCCTAGACCACTATTTTTCATTTTAGTTTTCCTGGTAAACAGAAGCCAGTAACCCTGTGTCCCCCTTCCTCGTGAAGACGAAACTCTCACCTCTTTGCTGAATTTCTCCACTTGAGCTTGGTAGTCCGCTAGTCTTGACTGTATACACGTCTTGACTCCGGTGACTGGACAGCTTTGAAGGTTAGACTCAACTTCTCTCATGTTTTTCAGAGATGACTCAATTGTTTCGAGTTCATTAGCAAATGTCTGAATATAGGAAACAAGCCCATGTTGAGTCTGTTCCCTCTTAAGTGGGTGTCAGCATCATATCTATCTGCCCGGATCCTGAAGATACTTCAAGGACATATTGCCTGGGAGTCAGGAGTCTCAACTCCTTAAGAGATACCTCCCTTCAAGAAATTCATTTTGTCTGGCATTTAAGACAGCCACTTGCTAAAAACAGGTTAGAAATACCTGAATTTCAGTAGGAAACACTACTTTTAATTAGAGAAATGGTTTTCAATCCGTGGGTTGTGATCCCTTGGGGGGGGAGTCACATATCAGACATCCTGCATATCAGATATTTACATTAATTCAGAACAGTAGCAAAATTACAGGTATGAAGTAGCAACTAAATACTTTTATGCGTGGGGGTCACTACAACATGAAGAACTGGATTAAAGGGTCCCAACATTAGGGAGGGTGAGAACCACTGGTTAGAGACACCTGATGATTTCATCAAACATAAACTGCACATAGTATGACTAGCATGTTTCATGTGTTACACATGCTTCTCATAAAGGCCATCAGGTGGCACAATGGCAGCAACACACTCATGGTAATCTTTGCATTAAGAACATCCCTGTCACAAAACAGAGCAACCTCTGCGGAAAGAAATTTGCTCTTATTCTCATCCCAAATTCTAATAACCACAGCCAGCCATAAAATGTGAGCTATCTGCTTGTCTTTTATTAGCTGTAAGGCCAAAATAAAAGCTTTATGATAAAGGACAATTTATCTAGAGTTCATATGCCCCACTCTTAAAATTTTAATAACACCAAATGACAAAGAACAAGAAGAAAATGTTATTTATTTGAATAGGAGGGCCACCCCAGCAGAACTCACAGCACATTGGTCAAGCTGCCTCTGTAGACCAGCTGCGTCTCCTTGGGCAGCCTGCTCTTTCACTAGAAAGTCTTTCACATTGCCCATCCACTTCTCAATGACTTCTGAGTCGGCCTAAATCGAACACAATAACAGAGGAGGATATTACTCAGTGACACTCAAGCCACCACATCTCAAGATCTACTGCAACCAAAAAAAGGCAACCTCTCAAAACTTCGATAACATCATTCTCATTTATTTCATTTCCTTTTTTAAGTCTCCCAACTTGAAAAATAATTCTTAAAAATGCCAGCTTAGTAATAATTCCACAAGCTTCAAAATACACTGGAACGAACTATTGATGGGGGAAGTCCTGTGTATATGTCAATAAAGCACTGTTGGCCAATAGGAAAGCAAGATAGGTGGGACTAGGAGTCGAGGAGGACTCTGGGTAGGAGAAACACAGAGAGTCAAGATGTAACCGCCATACGGATAAGAAGCCCGGAAACCTCTCCAGTAAGAGAAATACTTAGATTAACAATTATGGGATAGATACTTAAGTCAGAGCTAGACAGTAAGAAACAAGCAAGACCAACAGCTTCATAATTAATACAGCGTCTTGTGTGTGATTTGGGGACTACAACGCGGCATAGCCCAGGCGACTGGCGGGTGATAAACCAAAGCGGCTAACAAGGAAAAGCCTCCCTTTACAAACTATATTTAAATGGAAGCTATTTAGGACTAAGATTCAGATTACAGGGGAAATATACTATTCTAGCTATAATCAACTGAAAAACAAAATCTTTTGTTTTTAGCTAACCTAGAGCACTTGTACTCCAACGCTAGCTGCTGAAGTGGGAGTAAATACACAGCATCATGAAGGAAATACAATCTATGCCTTTTCATTCCTCTGTGAAGTAAACACACAGCATCATGAAGGAAATACCATCTATGACTTTTCATTCCTCTGTGGAGTAAACACACAGCATCATGAAGGAAATACCATCTATGACTTTTCATTCCTCTGTGGGGTGCCTCCTTCCCTGAAAACAGAACTAGCCACTGTCTACTTCAGCTCCGTCAAGCACTCAAAGTTACTAAGAAGAAAGAGAAGGCAAACATTTTCTAGAAAAAGCATACTTTAGAGAGGAGATCACATAGGTACGATTGCATAGAAGACAATGTTAGCCCCAGTTAAACCTCAGTACTGAGGAGGTAGCCGTTTTTCCCATGGCCTCCCATTCAATCAGTGGTTAGTCAGCCTTGTACATTTCTCTAATGTTTCCTTGAACTCTCTCCAGTTCAGTCCTAAAAATAAAATAAGTTTGAATGATCAAATTGGAAAGTGTCTACCATGTGTCTCCCTAGTGCTGTGATGGTTTAATATTTCTTCTTTTGTGACATTTCTAAGGCAACAAAACCAGGTAATGTACAAACCATTCTGATCCACATTCTCTGGAAACAACAGAAATTATTTAATATTCCTATAACTATGCCAAACAAAACCAGCTATTATTATTCTTATGAAGTTGGAAAGAGTCCTAAAGATGCAGATGCTTATAAAATACCACCTAAAATGATTTGGATTTTTTTTTTTTTTTGGTTTTTCGAGACAGGGTTTCTCTGTATTGTTTTGGAGTCTGTCCTGGAACTCGCTCTGTAGACCAGGCTGGCCTCGAACTCACAGAGATCCGCCTGCCTCTGCCTCCCGAGTGCTGGGATTAAAGGCGTGCACCACCAACGCCCGGCCAAATGATTTGGATTTTGACCCCTGCTTCTTTTATGCTAAACTTGGTTGGTCTTAAATACGTCGGTCATAACATTACAATTCACTAAAACCCCAGTACTTTCAGTGATTACCTCAAAATAAGCTTCTCTTCTCAAATACTGCTTCATTGACTGCTAATTTAAAAATAGGAATTGATCACTGTAAATACTAAATTTTGCTTTGTTCTGTTGACAATGCCAATAAAAAAAATAGACCTATAGCACGTCAACAGAATAATTAAAATCTTTAGCTTTTCCAGTTTCCTACCTGCCTAACTTTCTTCTGCTTGGAAATCTGACAGAGAAATATAATTTTCTATTGGGCATGTGGTTTCTTGTTTGGTTGGTTTCGATTGGGTTTCTTGTTGAGTTTTAGGATTTTTCCAATAAATTTAGGAATTTTCCAAATACTAAATAAATCCATAAACCAATGACACTGCTTTCCTTCAAATGTCACAATGGCATCCATTGTTTGTAAATAATAGTTGCTAATAAAAATAAAAGTGGGGCTGGAGAGATATCTTGGCAGGTAAGAGCACTGTGCTCAGTATCTCCATGTGCCAAGATCACTCAGGTGAGTCATAAAGACCATGAAAGAGCTCACAAGAACAATGCAGTTTCTCTGGCCACTTAAAAATCACACAGCTAAAGCACGTATGTGTTTCTAATCTCCAACAACGAGTAATGTCTCTCTGACAACTTAATGAACAAACACGTGAACACACACACATGCATGCACACAGTTCTTTGGGGAACTTTGCTTCTTATAAATAAATTTGCTTTAAGTTCCTAGTAGGAGCTTGGGAGATGATTCAGTCCATTAAATTGCTTGCCTGGTAAATAAGGGGGTCTAAGTTTGATCTGCAGAATCCACATAAAAAGCACAGCATGGTGACAAGTGCTTTGTTTTCCAAATACTGAGAAAAGGAAAACAGGTAGATTCCTGAGGCTTGCTGGCCAGCCTAGGTCCCAGGTAGAGACCTTGTTTCAAAATATAGTCCATAGACAATCACCTAGCTTCTAGCCTCCATACATAGTCTCTTGAGCATGTATATATTCCCTCTGTCTTTGTCTGTCTGTCTCTGTCACTCTGAGTGTGTCTGTCTTTCTGTCTGTCTCTGTGTGTATGTGACTTTCTCTGTCTCTGTGTGTCTTTCACTTATATATACATACGCACACAAACATACACATTACCAGCAAATTTCTAATAAAAAAGTCTGAGGGGGGGCAATAAGCGTAAGGACTCAGGCATTATGCTGGCCTATCCCTATCACCTGCCAGAATGCACTCAGGCAGTATCCTGGTCAGCCCAGGGTTCCATGATTGCATAGTCTGCACACAGGTGCAAAGGACCCAAAAGACAGACCCACACCAACTTACGCTCTTTTCCGGCTCTCCTCTTTTCCAGTTTTCTTTCCACTCTCTTTCCCACTCTATTCCCCGCGGCTCCCCTGGGGCAGACAGGACTTTTCCTGTCTCCCTCTTCTCTTTTGTCCTCTCTCTGTGTCTCTCTCTCTTTACCTCTTTTCTCTTTCCTTCCTCCTCCCTCCCCTTTCTAATAAAACTTCTCACTTAAGCTCTGTCTGCCTGGTGTTTGTCCCCTGCCTCGGTCAACCTCACCTGCCATGAAACCCACCAAGGTTCCCCACCCACGGTTCCCCTCACCTTTTATCGTAACAATAAGTCCTAGTCCAAGACAGTAACCATTTCTCATGCCCATTTTTATTCCCAAATATTTGAGTGAAGATGAAATTGGAGGAACTCAAACAAAGATTCTCCTTTGGAACTGTCAAAATTTTTAAAAACACTGATCATTCCTTCAGAAAACTTCTTGAGCAGGCAGCACCCTGGCTTAGGGTCACAGAGAAGGAATGCAGGGTCATGGAAACAATCTCTCCTGAGCTGGAGGACCCAGAAGCATTTTAAAGCTCGGAAACTCTGAACCCAAGAACCTGAGATTTGATGGCATCTACATGCTTGACATTTTTCTCTCCCTGCTCCCCCATCAGCTGGAATGTCTGCAGATTTTTAAGCTGTTAACTTCTACCCTAAGACACAGAAAACCAGCTGTGAAAACAGAATGAGTGTAGTAATTTAAAGTAAAGAGCTCCTGAGTTTGCTCAGGTTTTGAGGCATTCCAGAGGCTGCAGCAGACACTACCTGTGGTTTCAAAAGATACCAAAAGCCTGCTCAAAATACAAAAATTGTTATGTCACAGAGATGAGGGCAAAGAATAACACATCAGCTTCTCCAAACCCATGTCCCTAAATCCAGGGGGTAGAATGGCCCATTCTACCTGTACTGAATAATAATGATGGAAACAGCAACATTTTAATTACTATATTAGGTTTGTGTTCACTAGAAAGGATAGATTAGCTAAATACGGATTTTATTCTTCCTAGTTTTTATTCTGAAATCCTTCCAAACTAGCAATTTGGAAACCTGTTCCTTCAATAGCAGAGTCCCAGGAGGTCCTCTCCGCATTCTGGGGTGGAACACAAGTTGGGTTGGTGAGAATCTTTGAGTTTGGCCAACTGAAGAAAGAGGAGTGAGCAGGCAGCTGTGCTGACACTGGGCATGAGTGGGTTTCAGACTACAGGGTCCAAGCTCATTGGAGAGGGAGCAGTGGATCTGACACAGCTCCAGAGCAATTCATTCAGGCCATGGCCATTTATATCATCATTCACATCCTCTTACTAGCTGGGCACCCTGCAGAGTCCTATCCTCAAAGAGCTCCTTCCCTGGGAGGAAGGAGAAACATACAGTTCTAAGCATGATAGAACTCCACGGGGGTGTAGATGGGAGGACACACAGAACAGTGACAGAAGGGTGTCTCATCTTCAGGCTACTAATAGAGTTTGTTCTAAGAAATCAGCTAGGGGGAGGTGATATGCCAGCAAGTATATGACATATCCAGAGGAAGGCAGTAGACCAGCTTAGTCCTTTGGGATCCATGATACTGGGCCAGCCTGATGTCAAGGAAGGAGCAAGGATTATGTGATAAGGATGAACATTTTACTCTGGTTGAGGACAACCAGACCCCATGCAGAAGCCTCTGGCATTGATGGGAAGATGAATTCCCAGCGTAAGAGATGAGAAGCAGGAGTGGAATTAAAGAGTGATGGAATTGTTGGGAAGTAGGCTGTAGGAGAGCCTGTCCCTGGAGGGCAGGGCTGCACATGGGGTCCACAGAGCCAAGAGGTGTCCACAGAGCCACTAAGTTTTGTGTGCACTAAGGACACGCTGGTAACCTTCCAGGTATATTCCACACTGTAGGATCTTGAGTAGGAGAAAGGAAATGATATAACATATATCACAATCCCAGTAATATCCAAGATATTACTACTGGAGATGAGAGAGAGGAAGCAGCTGTACATGATTCATAAGAAAATTCTATCAGTAAAATCAATAACGAAAAAAAATGCCTGTCTTGTGTTTTTTCAAATGTCTTGCTGCTGGGAAGGGAATGGTGGTTTGTAAAAGTAAAAATGACCATTTCCATTGCCAAGCAGAGCACAGAGCAGAAGAATTTAAGCCCACATTTGTGCCTAGCACTATGAAAGAGCATAATGGTCTAACCTTAGTCTGTGAAAAAAGGACTTAGCAGTGAAGACCAGGAAATGTCACCAAATGCCAAGAAAATAAGAGACAATTAACTATAACCATCCACACAAACACAGTGACCCCTCTTAGAAATATCACAGGCTGGAGAGGAAGAAAAAAAAGCAGACCACAAACATTAACTCAACCTCTAAAGGTGCTGTATTCCTGAAAGGCTTTTTTCTGAGGGTTGGGATTCATTCTCTGAGCTCTGCACTCTATTAGCTATTGACATGCCTGTATAAACTGACAATGAGACCACTCCCTGGCATGATTAAGGGAAGGCGCTTGTAGTGCAGAGAAAGTTTAAAGATAGGAGATTTGGGGATCATTGGATATGTGGGAGAAGTTCCTACAATCTGTAAGCATTTGGAAATCTAATGTACCATCCTTGGTCATTGACTGGGCTGTCCTGAGGCCCTTGGCAGTAAGACATAACTGGAATTCCTGAGACTGAGGACCAGACGAGAAAAGGAGGGGACATGCGGGAAAACAGGAACTCAGACAGAGGGAGGATACCACTGAGCTGGGGGGGGGATTGAGAGCACGTGGGGAGGAGAGCAGGTGGGGAGAAGCAGCAGCTGAGGAGGCTGGAGGGCTCCAGAATTTGGCGTGGAATACGGTGGGTGGGTGGATGGCAGATGCCAGCAGAAACAAATGATCCACAGCTTAGCAGAGTCAACCCTGCGGCTTAGTTTGGTTAGGAGAGGCCCAGCACCTCGGAAAGGGATTCATCTGTGCTCCCCGCCCCCATCTCCGGATTAAGCTGAGGACATGACCACCCCCATGGTATGGATGGTTAAGCGGAAGGTTTTAATGAGATATGAGAGAGAGAGAATAGCCAGAGGCAACTGGAGGAGTCCAGAGCAGAGAAAGAACACAGTAGTCTGAACTTGGCCAGCCGACTGTACCTGACCATGAGGGAAGCAGGAGCAAAGCAGAGAGGGAGAGTGGGAAAGCAAGGGGAGGGG